TGTGTCCTATAAATTTTCCTAAACCAACTCTTTCTTTCTTCACAATTTTCTCCCACTTGACGAAAGTATTTTTCTCAGCTATCCCAATCTTATTATGGGGCATAACCCTGGGTATAAAAAACTTTGGGAGGGTACGGACAATGCAATTTGAGAATGCATTAATCCTGAAAGTCCCTTAAGAGGAAAGCAAAAAAAAAGTAAGAAATACTGAAGGGGGCTGTGCCTTATTTCTTCCAGCTCAAATATTAAAAAGCAAGACCTCATGCCTTATCTAGCATAGAATTATAACTAAGAAATAAGATCGCAGTCACAGGGATGTATAGAAACAAGTTTATTTCAAGTAATAAGCAAAAACTACAAGGTTTTAATGAAAGTAAAACATAATCACAATATATGACAATCTAGAAGTTAGATCCTTTATAACTATCTAAACTCTTGACGAAAAACTTCAGATGCCATCAACTTAAAAACATGCAAAGGAGTAAATTGTTTTTCAAAATTATTTAGAGAATATACAAGCAAACATATTTGGAAGGCCACTGGACTAAGGTAGTACTAGTTTTGTATCCTGTTTTCTCTTTTAAATTATATTTACATAAATATAACCTTTCTTCTATTAAAGATTTAAACTGTCTGTAAACAGGAACAGAGACTCACTTTCCCTTTTTAATTTAATGTTGCATTTCTGTAAGCATTGAGAAAACGTTGCTATCGGCATTATGAAAACATTTATTGCTATGCCAAGTTGTTCTCTATGAACATCTGCTGCTGATTTTGATGAGGAGGTGAAGGGACGCAAAAACCCTATTTAAAACCCACATATCCATTCCTCTAACTCTGCCTGACTAGCTACATATTACATGCCACACGACTACTATACGTTGAGAATACAGATATAAATGGAAATATTTCTGTTCTTTAGGGACTCAGTCTAGTAGCAGATTCAGACATGCAAAGATTTATAGCAATTAACTAGAGGTATGAATGTACCATGCTATGAGAACACAAAGATGGGCTCAAAAATGAAATGTTTTTCAGGGAGGAAAAAAGGGAAAGAGCATTCCAGAAAGGGGGATTACCACATGCCAAGACAAGGAGGGGAGGAAGACTGTGATGTAATTTGAAAATTACAAATAGTTCAGTACGTAAACAAAGGATATTTTCAGAGGTAATATTCAAATTTGAAATGCCTATCCATCAACCAAAAAGAGTCAACACTAGTGTACACAGGTAGGAATAGACATGGAAATTCATCTGGTGAATTATTTAGTATTTATTGAGTATCCACTATGTACCTGACACCACATAAGAAAATGGGGAAGAAAGAAGTAAAGGCAAAATAAGCCATCCATCAAAGGGGCAAAGACAGAGAAGTAAACCAAACATAGCATTAGCGTACAGTGATAAAATGCCACAGAATACACATGCAGAGTGTTATAGGAGCAGAAAGAAGACGAACAGACAGAAGAAAGTTTCTCAAAAACAGTAATGAGATGTCTTTAAAGGTGAGTAGGAGTGAACCAGATAGAGAGTGGGAGAAGTGTAGGAGTAAAAACACAAAGTAAACACAAAGTAGATCAGATAAAAGCTGGAGGAAAAGGAGGTGTATGGCAAAGGAGACTTAGAAAAGCCTGATCACCAGGGGCATTAAGTAGTAAGAAATCAAGCTATGATAAGGCACAGAAAGGTTTCAGGCATGAGTAAGAGGATCAATCACTCCATCAAGCAGAGTGCAAAATATACTAGGGGCGGAAGTAGGAAATATGGCAAGACTGAAGAGAATGCCAATATGTAGATCAGGGATGATATATATATAATTTAGAATATATACAAAGCAAGAAAACAAAGGAAAGGACGCTTGGAAATAGGGACAGGGAAGACGGAATAAATGAGGGGTGGAGGGGGGGTTTCAAAGGTGCTAGTTACATGGATGTTTATTTTATAATTACATATTAAACTTAGTTACGCACTTTTATGTATTACACTTCAAATTTTAAGCAAATTCTAAAAGAGGGAGAGGTTGCTGAACTAAGGAAATAGCAGTAAGGAGAAGAAAGGAAAAATTAAGAAACAAATATGAGAACTAAAAGAACTTAGTGACCAATCAGATAAAGGAAAGGGACAAAACTAGGAATCCCAATCAGGTCTCCAATTTCAGACTCTAGGTAGAGAGTGAAGCCATTTACCAAGGCAGGACTAATAGGAGACAACTGTTTGTTTTGTGGGAGGAACAACTCAATTTTGGACAGGTTGACATTGAGTTGCCTGAATGACATTCATACAGAGATATATTTAGTAGGTTTTTAAATATGCAGGTCAAAAACATAGAAAAAATGTCTTGATTGAAGATAAAAATTTGGGCACCATGAGCATATAAGCAGTATAGTAGTTAAGACTGTGGGCTTGAAAAAGGTTACCCAAGGAGACTCAAGAAGAATAAGTATATCACTAGAGTAACAGTAGGCTAAGGACAGAATGATCTGAATGGGGTTGTAAAATAAGAACTGAACTGAAGTGAGATTTTGAATCATTAGCAATTGCCTTTTAACATGTAAGAAACCTAGAGTCCAAATATCTTTCCTTAAAATGACAGCTTTTCAAATTTTCACTTGATTAATGAATAAAGAAATGAGAGCCGGCCCTGTGGCTTAGCGGTTAAGTGTGCGCGCTCCGCTGCTGGCGGCCCGGGTTCGGATCCCCGGCACGCACTGACGCACTGCTTGTCCCGCCATGCTGAGGCCGCATCCCACATACAGCAACTAGAAGGATGTGCAACTATGACATACAACTATCTACTGGGGCTTTGGGGGAAAAATAAATAA